TTTCCACCATAATTTGCAAATAAATTCATAAAAAATCCTACAATGTGATTTTCTGGAATTTTTTCTCTCATTTTGTCTGTCATAGTTGACGTGTACCTATGATGAAAATTACAGGCCTCTCTCATCTTTTTAAGTGGGAGAACTTGCACAATTGGTGGCTGACTAAATACTTTTTCCCCCCACTGTATATTGTGCATTACTTTTGACCAGAATCCTAAGGGCCCTGGTCAAAATTAGTACACTAGGGAATAGGGTGCTATTTGGGATGAGGACAAGGTCACCCCCATGGTTAGCAAGAAGGGTTTATTTTTAGTTGTCCCCCGCAATGAAATCGGGGAGTGGACTGTGGATGTGTGTCCGTCCGGTAGTCACATGCGATATCTCAGACAGCACTAACCCGATTTTGACGAAACGGGGGTAATGATCCGCCTTGCCATAGAGATCCAGCATTTACAAAATTACACTGATTGGCGAGATGGTGGCGCTATAACAAGAGATTGAAAATGCTAACTTTGAAAGGTCACGCCCCTCACCCTGTTTGACCTAAAGTCATGAAATTCAGTACATAGGTAAGGAGAGGGACCTATGAGGTCTGCCCTGTAAGGTCCGCCCTGACGGATGTTCCGCCATTTTGAATTTAGTGAAAAACACTTAAAACGCTACTCTTCTGGCACCGAAGGACCGATCTGCATGAATCTTGATATGTGGCATCTATGGACAAAGGCTTCTCAATGCATTGAATATACATTTTGTAGTGCTTAGGTTGTTATGAGTGTACTGATAAGTAGACAACTTTGAGAAAAAATATGTTATATCGGAGTTGTGCCTGTTGTGCACACGCGTATCTGCCCTCTCATTGGCTAGAATGGTCCCACCTGATCTTGCCTCTTCCCGACTGCCTTCTAGTCTGAGTACCAGTCTCTTTAGCTAACATTCCATTTCTTGACACTCCTTTTCATTGCCAAAGAGACTGCCCTTTCGGCAATCTCAATGTTCAATATGCGCTGGATTTACGGCGGAGTTGCTCATTGGTTGTTGTTCACTCCACATGTTGTCATTTTCCATGACAACATGTGGAGCCTCAAATAGAATTTGACTTTATAACAAAGTCAATAACAAACATTTAGCTGTTAGCTGGGCAAGTTGTTGTATAAGACGTTTTGTGGTTGGAATTGCAGTCTTTGGCACATGATATGGAGTACAGGGAGTGGATTAGCTAAGGAGACCGTTGCCCAGGCTAACTGCCTTCCATTATTTTTTTTTTAATATATTTATTTTCATTGTTGGAGTGGCCACTTAAGTATCTGGTCAATATAATGGATAATCTGTGGTCACACACGATAACTGAAAAAAACAGAGACGCAACATCGCGAGACCTCAGGGAATGCTTGCGAAGCAGACTAGGTAGACCAGGCTGGGGTTTGGGGTTTTAGAAGTCAATGAGAGAAGTGAAAGATTATTCCTTTAGTTGTTAATTTTATCGAAATCTAAAGGCACAACCTAGATTCGAGCCAATGTCTTAAGTATTTGAACATGTTATTACTCCAACTTCGTGAAAGTGACAAACTGACAAGTTTTTTTGTTGATGTCAAAAACGACTTCATATCGAAGGAGTGCATTTGATTTGACGGCCTGCACATGCGCAGTTTGTCGCGAGATGACCGTTAGACCCGATGACGTGTTTCTGCACTTGAGCTTAGCAAGCCAACATCGCCATGACATCACCTACAAGTATGATCGGGGATTTCTATTGGAGAAACAGTTTTAGCCTATCTTTATACTGTACTGTCTTTGACTACTTTTTGGGGAGTGCTCTTGTTTTGGATGACCTCTGGTGCTCTCCGGGGTGAAGTTTCTCCTAGGTAAAGATCTAGGATAAGCTTCCCTTCCCCCAATCCTTACCTTAACCATTAGTGGGGGAAATGCAAAAGTGACCCAAGATCAGCATCTTGTTTAGATTGACCTCTCCTGGTAATACTGTTACTGACAAAAAGAGACCTTTTCGTTTTTGGGGCTGACGATAAGTGATGATGACGATGATATTGATGATGGTAATGAGGATAATGATGATGATAAGAATCACTGGAAATTAGCATAAGCTATGGTGTGATGGTGCAATGCAGTTGACTGTTTTACATTCAATGTGTCAATGTTTTAATTATAAATCCCTATGTAAACAATTTTAAAAACAAATAAGTTAAATTACGATGATGATGATACCTTTTAAAGTGATCCATCATCCCCTCAGTGTCTTATTCTCTTATAGAATTACCAGCACTCCACTCGCCTAATCCTCTCTCCTCATGGCCTTTGTTTGTAGTGATTCGATGTTTGAGTGACACCAAGTCAAGTCTCAGTCTAGTCGCAGTCTAGCTAAGCAAGTTGAAGTTCTCATTAAAGTGCATCTTCCTTCACAAGAGGGCACCCATCCAGGGCCTGTATTAAAAAAGCCTGATCTGGGAGCAGTTTTGTATTTTAGATTATAAGGAATGGAGGGAGGGGGGGGGGGTGTGGGGCCTGATCCTAGATCAGCACTCGTACTCTGAGACGCTTTATGAGTACAGGCCAAGATATTACACACTCCTCTGGCCGACCTATAAAATATGTAGAATGTAGTTTGTGTGCTATTTAGCCTATCTTCCCAGTCCCGTGTACCTCAGTTGGTAGAGCATGGCGCTTGCAACGCCAGGGTTGTGGGTTCGATTCCCACGGGGGACCAGTATGAAAATGTATGCACTCATTAACTGTAAGTCGCTCTGGATAAGAGCGTCTGCTAAATGACTAAAATGTAAAAATGTAAAATCTTCATACTGTACCGTCTTTGACTACTTTTTGGGGAGTACTCTTGTTTTGGATGACCTCTGGAGCTCTCCGGGGTGAATCAATCTTGGGCAAAAAAACCTCATGGCTTAATATCCACTATTAAGTTTAGATGAATATCAACCCAGTGAATGAACAAATGCATTTCCTACCCCAGCCCCTGCGTAGCATCCCACCCACATGTTCTTAATATAATAATACACTGCTCAAAAAAATAAAGGGAACACTTAAACAACACATCCTAGATCTGAATGAATGAAATAATCTTATTAAATACTTTTTTCTTTACATAGCTGAATGTGCTGACAACAAAATCACACAAAAATTATCAATGGAAATCAAATGTATCAACCCATGGAGGTCTGGATTTGGAGTCACCCTCAAAATTAAAGTGGAAAACCACACTACAGGCTGATCCAACTTTGATGTAATGTCCTTAAAACAAGTCAAAATGAGGCTCAGTAGTGTGTGTGTGGCCTCCACGTGCATGTATGACCTCCCTACAATGCCTGGGCATGCTCCTGATGAGGTGGCGGATGGTCTCCTGAGGGATCTCCTCCCAGACCTGGACTAAAGCATCCGCCAACTCCTGGACAGTCTGTGGTGCAACGTGGCGTTGGTGGATGGAGCGAGACATGATGTCCCAGATGTGCTCAATTGGATTCAGGTCTGGGGAACGGGCGGGCCAGTCCATAGCATCAATGCCTTCCGCTTGCAGGAACTGTTGACACACACCAGCCACATGAGGTCTAGTATTGTCTTGCATTAGGAGGAACCCAGGGCCAACCGCACCAGCATATGGTCTCACAAGGGGTCTGATGATCTCATCTCGGTACCTAATGGCAGTCAGGCTACCTCTGGCGAGCACATGGAGGGCTGTGCGGCCCCCCCAAAGAAATGCCACCCCACACCATGACTGACCCACCGCCAAACCGGTCATGCTGGAGGATGTTGCAGGCAGCAGAACGTTCTCCACCGCGTCTCCAGACTCTGTCACGTCTGTCACGTGCTCAGTGTGAACCTGCTTTCATCAGTGAAGAGCACAGGGCGCCAGTGGCGAATTTGCCAATCTTGGTGTTGTATGGCAAATGCCAAACATCCTGCACGGTGTTGGGCTGTAAGCACAACCCCCACCTGTGGACGTCGGGCCCTCATACCACCCTCATGGAGTCTGTTTCTGACCGTTTGAGCAGACACATGCACATTTGTGGCCTGCTGGAGGTCATTTTGCAGGGCTCTGGCAGTGCTCCTCCTTGCACAAAGGCGGAGGTAGCGGTCCTGCTGCTGGGTTGTTACCCTCCTACGGCCTCCTCCACGTCTCCTGATGTACTGGCCTGTCTCTTGGTAGCGCCTCCATGCTCTGGACACTACGCTGACAGACACAGCAAACCTTCTTGCCACAGCTCGCATTGATGTGGTCCTCTGTAGCTCAGCTGGTAGAGCACGGCGCTTGTAACGCCAAGGTAGTGGGTTCGATCCCCGGGACCACCCATACACAAAAATGTATGCACGCATGACTGTAAGTTGCTTTGGATAAAAGCGTCTGCTAAATGGCATATTATTATTATTATTATTATTATTATCCTGGATGAGCTGCACTACCAGAGCCACTTGTGTGGGTTGTAGACTCCGTCTCATGCTACCACTAGAGTGAAAGCACCGTCAGCATTCAAAAGTGACCAAAACATCAGCCAGGAAGCATAGGAACTGAGAGGTGGTCTGTGGTCACCACCTGCAGAACCACTTCTTTATTGGGGGTGTCTTGCTAATTGCCTATAATTTCCAACCGGTTGTCTATTCCATTTGCACAACAGCATGTGACATTTATTGTCAATCAGTGTTGCTTCCTAAGTGGACAGTTTGATTTCACAGAAGTGTGATTGACTTGGAGTTACATTGTGTTGTTTAAGTGTTCCCTTTATTTTTTTGAGCAGTGTATATGTCATTTACAAGACACTTCTTCAAATGTATGTATGAAGCCAGTTAATTTACAGATACAATCAACAGTGAGATGCGTATCTTCTGTTAGATCATTAATGAGCTGTTAACTCACTGTGGCTGCCTTATCATTTAAAGCTTTTTATTTATCCCTCTTTCTTCTCTCTCTCTATCGTTCTCTATCATTCTTTCTTTCTCTCTTTTTCTCTCTCTTCTTTCTTTCTTTCTTTTCCTTTCACCCTCAGGTCAAAATACCACAAGCTCAAATATGGAACAGAGTTGAACCAAGGAGACATGAAACCTCCCAGCTACGATGATTCCGGTAAGTTCCACCTCTTATCTTAGGACCAACCGGTGGCGTTGACACCACTTTGAGTCCTACATCGTAAAGCTATCTTTTAATGCCACAATTAAAATGACTAATAACATATTTGTATGGCTCCTTTCTCAGACCCCAAGTGCTTTACATATTCAAGATAACACAATGCGTTCACACACACTGTAGACATAGATGGAATAAATTAAAAACAAAAATGCCCAAAAAAAAGCGCAACCAAATAGCACCTAGGTTAGTGGTTGTAAATGAAAGCATGACTTTGCAGATCTCATCAGCAGTCATCACTCATGATGGATGACATTTGCGACCAACCGTCTCGATTCGGTCTTATGTAGCAAATTTTGAAATTGTGTTTTTTACATTGGATAAAAGTAGAGACTCCGAGCTAGAATATGGTATATGATACACTGCAGTTGAGGAACAATGGGAAAGTAATTCTGCTTTGAAAGTTGATCAACTTGTAACCCCACTTTTGAGAAAATGGCCCTTGAACGTTTTGGTACACCTACTGGAGAGCTCTTCTGTCGTCTACAACCATTCAGCATCGTTCACACCCTCTTAAGCCTTAGCCCCACCCATCTCTTTAAGGATTCACATGTGAGGCCATGTTCTAAACAGAGTGAGTAGTTTAGTAAACAACCAAAGATTTCAAGACTAAAAGTAGTAGCCTACAATAAGGAAAAACTACAGGTAAAAATACACTTTATCTAGTCCTTGGCCTATATCCTAATCTGACTTTGGTGCAGGTCATGTTGTTCTTCACATTACCGTAAGTTTATTTGTCACATGCACAGGATGCAGAAGATTTAAACGGTACAGTAAAATGGTTACTTGCATAGTAGCAATATCAAAAAGTGTCCAGATATAAATATTTTATAATTATTAGATTACGTTTACCCGACACACTTGTCTAAATTTATGGATTGTGTGAAGGAAATGCTATAACCACCCCCCAGCCACATCTAGCTAAGTGGATGGGTCACTGTTGTCTAGACGTGTACACATCTTCATGAAATACAATAGATGGCCGTAAACACCCCCAGACACACCTGGCTAACTTGATGGGTCATGTAATCATCTGGCGAAGTGGAGTCTTTTGTTTAGACATGTAGGTAGCATAATCCCAATTTATACTACCACCAATACAAACATTGTCATAGCTGTAGTATGAATCTGCATGTAGCTAAAGATCTAACCAACTAGGTTCAATGTTAGCTAGCTAACATTAGGCTATAACTAGCAATGCAAATGGGTTTCTGATTCGAATAATATTACAACACAGATCATACGCGTAACGTTAGCTAGCGAGCCAGCAAGCTAAAGTTTGCTAGCTAGCTAACAATACGCTTTAACTTACAATGAAAACAACTTTCTGACAAAATTAGAAACGTATAATATCAGAAAATGTAGTTAGACTCTTACCCGTATACATGGATGAACGCTTCACGGAAGACTGGAACCATTTAACTCAGTTTTGTTTGTAGCTATATCTTGTTTGGCCAGCGTTTTGTCAAGTCACTCTGGTTCACACTGACCGTGGCGTGTGCAGAAAGAAGCCCATCACTTTTTCCAACTGATCTGTCGATAGAGCCTGCCAAATTCAGGGCATCAATGTTGTTTAGAAAAGTAGCAAAACTTTTGTAGTTCTCGATGGCTAACGTTATCTTTCAAAAACGGCGCAATAGAAATGACTATCAACACATACTGAGCAGTTCACTTTATAGACAGAAGCATGCTACATGGCAGACAATCCAAACTCATCTCCTGGCATGTCCATCCCATCCATTATCTCAGCCAATCATGGCTAGCGGGAAAGTTCCTATCATTTTCCGTGGCTAAACCAACTAGGCTCACAATTTAACAATTGTATTCGTATTTACGGATGGAATACAAGTTTGTTATTAAAGCACATGAAAGTTCACATGTTCCAGAAGGCATTTCTGCCCCAAAACGCATTTAGATTAAAAAATAAATGTTTTTGTTCAAATGCCTCTCCTGTGAAGTAGTGACGTGCGACATATGCTTAGTTTCCTGAAACGAGTCACATTTGTGCATGTCAAATGTCACAATAATGACATGTTTCGTTCAGATATACTATATGCATTCTGACAATCTAACCTGGATTGCTCCATGTGTCCTGACTTGTGTTTCAATTGGAATTTTGGAGTGAAATTGAATGCAGCATATGTACTGTAAGTATTTCAGTCCATGCTTCAATACTGTGGGTGGAGCCTTAATAGCACAGTGCATCTCTTTCTCTCTCTCTCTCTGTCTGTGTCTCATTCTTGTCTCCCCTCAGATGAAGGGAATGAAAACGAGGTCCCGAGCCCCCCCAACAGTAGTCAGCTGGGTTGGAAACAGGGACGGCAGCTACTCAGACAGTGAGTGCAACTCACACACACCTTTTTGTCTTGTCTTTGCATTTGTTGTCTTAATGGTGCCCTATGGCTGTACACTTAAGTGCTTTGAGACCTGGTGACCTTCTGATCAGTAGGTTTGCATGGGCGGGAGTTTCGGCTTTCCACGGTGACATCAACATGTGGAATATTGGTTAATAGACCAATAACAAAGAGAGTTACAAAACTATCTGCCAATAACAGCTGGTTTTCAGTGTCAAAATTCTTGCTGGATAAATAGTTTTTTGCTAAAAAGCAATTTTTGCCAATTTTTATGGAAATGTATTACAGTAAGGTACTTTACACTGAACAAAAATATAAAGGCAACATGTAAAGTGCTGGTCCCATGTTTCTTGAGCTGAAATAAGGTAGCTTAGTGGCAGGTAGGTAGCTTAGTGGTTAAGAGCGTTGTGCCAGTAACCAAAAGGTCGCTGGTTCTAATCCCTGAGCCAACTAGGTGAAAAATCTGTCGATGTGCCCTTGAGCGAGGCACTTAACCCTAATTGCTCCTGTAAGTCGCTCTGGATAAGAGCGTCTGCTAAATGACCCCAAAAAAATAAATAAAAATAAAATAAAAGACACCAGAAATGTTCAATTCACAGAAAAAGCTTATTTCTCCTTTGCCAAGATAATCCATCCACCTGACAGGTGTGGCATATCAAGAAGCTGATTAAACAGCATGATCATTACACAGGTGCACCTTGTGCTGGAGACAATAAAAGGCCACTCTAAAATGTGTGGTTTTGTCACACAACACAATTCCACAGATGTGTCAAGTTTTGAGGGATCGTGGAATTGGCATGCTGACTGCAGGAATGTCCACCAGCGCTGTTGCCAGAGAATTGAATGTTAATTTCTCTACCATAAGCCGCCTCCAATGTTGTTTTAGAGAATTTGTCAGTACGTCCAACCGGCCTCACAACCGCATACCACATGTATGGCGTTGTGTGGGCGTGTGGTTTGTTGATGTCAACGTTGAAATCAGAGTGCCCCTTGGTGGCGGTGGGGATATGGTATGGGCAGGCATAAACTACGGACAATGAACACAATTGCATTTTATCAATGGCAATTTGAATTCACAGAGACACCGTGACAAGATCCTGAGGCCCATTGTCGTGCCGTTCATCCGCCGCCATCACCTCATGTTTCAGCATGATAATGCATTGCCCCATGTCACAAGGATCTGTACACAATTCCTGGAAGCTGAAAATGTCCCAGTTCTTCCATGGCCTGCATACTCACCAGACATGTCACCCATTGAGCATCTTTGGGATACACTCGATCCACGTGTACGACAGCGTGTTCCAGTTCCCGCCAATATCCAGCAACTTCGCACAGCCATTGGAGAGGAGTGGGACAACATTCCACAGGCCACAATCAACAGCCTGCTCAATTCTATGCGAAGGAGATGTCGCACTGCATGAGGCAAATGGTGGTCACCAGATACTGACTGGTTTTCTGATTCATGACCCTACTTTCTTTTTCATATGTATTCCCAGTCAGGTGAAATCCATAGATTAGGGCCTAATGAATTTATTTCAATTGACTGATTTCCTTATATGAACTGTACCCAGAAACGATTTGATATTGCTATAAAAACGGCTGCATTGGGCCTTTAAATGCAATCCATTATAATCTATTGTTTTTAGCAGTGTGTTTTTATCCCTGTGCAGCTGTGTGAAATTCCCTAGCACCTCATTTCTGGCTGGGAGCTGCGTGGCAACATGGACAATTGATATTATCCTGCATCTGGGCTGTCACAACGACCACTGACTCAATAGGGAAGGCCTCTGGGAGTGGGTGACTGTACGCCACCAGACTGTCTGTGTGTGTGTGTGTTCGCATTTGTGTGTGCTCTTGTTTCTTTTGACCATCTGTGTGTGTGTGGCTGAAGCCATAGGGCACCACCATCAGCTGCAAGTGTCTGTTTTAAGACAAAAAGCCTTCAAAGGGAGGAAAATCTTCTTAATGGAGATTAAGAGCCTAGGTATGAATAGAGTAATGGAGTAATCCCCCAGAGACTGGGGGGACGTGTGGAGCATCAGACACACACACACACACACACACACACACACACACACACACACACACACACACACACACACTGAGACACACACTGAGACACACAGAGACAGACACACTTAGACACATGCTCACACACACACACACACACACACACACACACACACACAGAGAGAGAGCGAGCGATATACACATGTTGAGACACACTGTGTGTTACTCTGAGCATGTGAGTGCAAAGGAGTGTGAAAGCTGTTAAAAGGCTTGTACTTGGGTGCCCTCTGGGTGTCAAAAGTAGTCAGGACATAGAATGAGCGGAAGGGGGATACAGAGAGTGTGTGCGCCTGCTTGTGTGTCTGTGCATGCTTGTGTGTGTGTGTGTGCGTGCGTGGGTAGGAGTGAGACATATGGAGAAAAAGGAATAGACAGAGAGAATACTGTGATGGAGCAATGAGAGAAGTGTGTGTGTCTTTGCTCATCCATTGCTGAGTCATCCACTTGTATTATTATCCCAGCCACCAACACACCGTACGATCTATGGAAGCACAGACTAGGGTTAGCACTGCAACTCCCAACACAGAGTGAATACACAGACACAATCTCTCTCTCGCTCTCTCTGCTATACATTCTCCTGATCCACACAACTCCTAGAGCACCCAGACCGCAGCAGCACACATAGCATGGCTACTGTTCCAGAGAGTGGTCATTGATTTCACGTCAGAGCACAAGTTACACACACAGACCCACAGACAGCACAGCAGATAGTCCACACAGCCCCAACCCTAATCTCATCTCGCCAGCCCACACTACGGAACGGTTCTTCATGTCGATATTACACCGTTTTCACTGACACAGGCTGCAGAACGTATATATCTCAGTGCTTGTCAGCTCCCCCGTGTGTTTGTGTGTGTGTGTGTGTGTGTGTGTGTGTGTGTGTGTGTGTCAGCGTGTATAAAATAAAGTACGTGTGAGTGTGTGTGTATGTTGTGTTTCAAAATGACACCCAAGCCCTCAAATGGGATAAGAGCGAGGGTTTGTGTGTGTATATATATCTATCTTTGTGTATTCTTTGTGTGTATGTCGTATCTTGTCTGCTTGTGTGTGTTGCAAACAGTGATGGGAGCGGCAGCTACAGGCAGGCACTGAACCACTCAAGGGACAGGGTCCCTCCCCCCATCCCACCCATGAACTCACTGAACCAGACCTGACAGAGCGAGAGAAAAGAGAAAGAAAAGGGGGGAAATAGAGAAGAGATAGGAAGAGGGCAGAGAAGAGAATCATGGAATGCAGCTAGTCTAAAGACAGTTTGAAAAATAAAATGAAAAGTTAAACAGACACTTGATCAGAGTCCAACATTCATTGTTACACCTATTCTTGACTTCTAGTTCTAAAATACTTGACCTTTTCTCAACAATTTGAACTTAAACTTGTTTTATATACAAATACTAGGTTTGGGCTAATTTGCGTTCCTCTGCATGTTATGAGCAGTTTTTGCCATTTGAGAAGTTGAGAACTCAACTGAACATTTTATTGTTGCCCGTAGCTCCAATACCCACAGCGTACAAGGCCTTATGTTATGTGGAATATGTGCTTATTGCCAAAATACATCAAGCAATAAATCTGGGCACTAAATTGTATTATCCTTGGATGACGTCCTTGGATGAAGGAATGTGAATGCAGCGTCTCATTGAGAGGAAACGTGTGTGTTCATCGATGTTGTGTGTGCGTGCTTGTGTGTGTCCATCTGTGTGTATGTTCGTCTCTGGTGTGTATGTGTGTATTGTCTCTGGTGTGTCTGTGTAACGAAGCGCAGTGTCCGAGACAGAGATGGCGTTAGCCCATGAATGGAGGATTGTGTCGGGGCATTCAGGGCTCCTGCGACTGGAGAGGCTGGTACAGCAAGAGACGGAGGGGAACTTTTTTCTCCTCAATTTTTTTTTCTCCTCCTTCTGTCGTTCTGTTAAAGCTTGCACAAGATGCTGTTTTATCAAAACCTCCGACCGTGGAGCATCAGCATCAGAACTTAAGCGTGTCTTGAAGGAATAAGGATAGAAGGGTGTCATCTTGATTTTGGTTTGACCTTTCCTTGCGAGGTATGTTGTGGTTTTGGAGAGCTTTACTGCAATTTTGCATTTGACCTTATTAAGTAGTTTGTATTCATGTGCGGTTTTAATTGGTTCAATTATGCAAAACTGTATACATACAGTTTCTTGTGTTTCATTCCCTTTTAACACAATTGCTTTCTTTGGACCCTATGGTATATAAAGGAACGTGTTTGTTTTCTTCAGGAACTGTATCCTATAAAGTAGCCCATATTGAATATTTATAGCTTGTTTGCCTTTGTAACAAAACTTGATTGTTTTTTTTTCTCCAGGATTTTGTTTTGGTTATCTAATCCAATACATATTGCTCTTGAAATGGTCAGTGTCCAGCTCTATTCTGTCAGACTAACACACCAGGAACGCCACTTAAATACAGTTAACTCCAAATAACTTAAATATAAATGGAAATGGCTATAGAAACACTTTTTCAAGTGTAATTTTATCCCTTTAACCTTGCGACTCCAAACGTCTCTTTTGAAACATAATTTACACAGTGATTAGCGTGACACACCAAATATCATAAGCAGTCGTAAAAAATATGACTAATATAGTCATGTCGCTTCTGTAATGTTGTGATGTGAAAACTGGAGTAGATGTAAGTTGCACCTAGAATCTGATCTAAGGTCAATTTAGCATCCCCCCCCAATGGTGAGGGTTGGGGGATTAGGTTAGGATTTAGAGCTGATTCTAGATCAGTACTTAAAGACGCTTCTCACTTTACGCACAAAATCTCAAAATGATTAGCCGATCTCTCCCGTAATATTCAATCGGGCCTTACTTTCTCCACTCATCCAGGTACCTTCAGGAGGTGGGCTACACGGACACCATCTTGGATGTGAAGTCCCAGAGGGTCAGGGCGCTGCTGGGCCTGGCTAGAGATTCTGGAGAGAGGCCGTCGGACAGGAAACCGGAACCCATGGTCAACGGCACCGAGCCATCTTTGCTGAAGGACAGCGGCATGATCAGGTGAGCTACCGCTAACTGCTAATGACTATTGCTGCTGTAATGGTTATTGTTAAATGCTGTTGTTGTAGTTGGTGCTAAAGCTATTGCTATGGTTAAGACTAAATCCTATTGTTATTGCTATCACTAATACTATTTCTCGAGCTATTGCTAATGCTATTGTTATTGCCATCGCTAATGCTATTGTCGTAGCCATTGCTAATGCTATCACTAATGGATAACTAGCATTCGTCAAGGAAGTCCAGTGAGAAACAATGTAGGGTTGCATTGTTTTTGTGTTCTCACTAACATCTGTCTCGTTTTCTCCCTGTTCTCTCCGTCAGTAAACCTGACATGTCTGACTCGGCCACTGTCCTTGAGGCCTTCAAGTTCATAGAAAGCGCCGCCGCCGAGTTTAGCGACGAGGAGGACGACGAAGACAGCGAAGGGAGGGACAAGACCATTATGAACTTGGCCACTGTAAGCAAGGACACACACACACACACATATACGATCTGACTTGGGCTTCTTCATGGGGCAATTCTATTTAGCCATTAGCAATATCATTAGCAATGGCTACAACAATAGAGTAACAGCAGTAACGATTGCGTTAGCGACAGGCAGCAATAACAGTCAAGGAGAACCAGTAGCAGTCACAAGCCATGTTAGCTCTTTCGTCATACTTCATTCTAGGGAGGTGATAAAATTAAGTGATACTATTTCACTTACTTATGTTACAAAATACATTTTACCAAGACAAATATGATTATTCATGTTCTGAATCATTCAGTGGGGTCTTTCTCTAACATATCATTAACATTATATCAAAAAAGTCAGATTTCGTAGCCGAATACATCCGATAATAAGCACCAATCGGTGTTGACATAGTGGTGCAGGTTTCTCTTAACTTTTGAGGATTTTACATTTTGTGGTCGTCGTCTCCAAAGTTGTTTCAGTGGGTCACAAAAAGCTAAATTAGCATGACACAAGCTGAATGAAATGTAAAAGGCTTTTAAAATAAAAAGCTTTTTGATTGGACACCCTACTCATTCAGACCTACACTTTAACACTCAACACATTCAGTCACTCAGACCCCCTCTTCAACCCTCTGTCTTCCACAGATGGTGCGGAAGAAGACGTCTTCGTCCCCCTCCTCATCCTCGGACATGAGTGACGACCTGGACACGGAGGAGGCCCTGAAGGGCTTTGACTTCCTGGCTAGCCCAGATGAGATGGACGGCTCGCCCGATACCCGGAGCGCCGAAGACAGCGGAGACTGGGGTGAGGGGGTGGGGTTGGTTATTTGACTGGTTGGTTGATGAACACTCAAACTAGAATAGTACAAGTTTAACACAAATTCAAGTTTACATGTGACTAGTAGGCCTAGTAACAGTGAAGGGTAAATGTTGACTGCGGATCATAGTTGGGACAGTGGACTATAGTGGCCATTGTAGACTATAGTGGACAAGTAAGTGGGGACAGTCATGTATTCTCAGGACAGGAGGGCATTGAAAGAGGACAGTAGACCAAAGGGAGGACCAGTGGGCCATAGCTGGGACAGTTGAGTCAAGAGAACATTGAGTGTAACTCTGTTTCCAGCTCTAGCACCACAGAACAGTCCCCACTGAGGGGACTCACTCACTCGCCCACTCACACAGAACCCTGTATTGTCTAACCTAGTCTTCACACAAAGACACAGCTGGCCACCTGGCTACTGTAGCTCCCTTAGCCCCTTCAGCCAACAGAGAACCCCCTTCACTCCCGTCACCTAGCAACGCCTTGTGTTTATCTCGATTCAACAACAAAGGGCATTCCCACGCAATGAGTGAGTCAAAGAAGAAGGGATGATTTGGCGTCGCTGGTTGTGTAACAGAGGAAGCCAGAGGGATCCAGTTGAAGACTTAGGCTATCTTCCAATATCCATACTATATTCATAGTAAATACTAAGTAGTATGCTAGTGTAGACATTAGAACACAACCACAACAAATGACCAATTGTCTATGATGCATTGACCCACTGACTAGATGTTGACAATCCAGTTATTTTAAAAAATACTATTATTCAATAGTAGTTCATATAAATAATGGTAACTATTTAAAAAATACTATTCCTGTATTATTGGGATAATTAGGTCAACTTGCATGCGAAACCGAGTTGTTCGCATTTCTCTATGTTAACCATAATTGAAGAAGCCATGAGCTGAACACACAGCAAAGGACGGATAGATGGATGGTATTAAAGGTCCAGCGGCAGCGAGGCGCTCAGCTGATCAGTTATGAAACCGTTGTCATCAGCAGCGCTGTGCTCTCAAGTGTTCATCTCCTCCGCTTGATCCCACACACTGCCGCTATAGACCAAGGGTGTGCCCCAAATGGCACCCTATTCCCTATATAGTGCACTATTTTTGACCTGAGCCCAATGGACCCCTGGTCAAAAGTAGTGCACTATATAGGGAATAGGGTGCCATTTGGGACACAACCAGAAACATCTGTAGCTGAGGGCTGCAATGGGAAATTAGAATAGCCATTCTGTTTACCCCATATTATATGATCATGCGTGTATCTGAAATTATAAATATGAATATGCTTATAGGTATAGATACAGATAACTCCACCACATTATTTGACTTTTTTTGTTTAAATCCATGATTTTTTGTATTTTTAGTTCTTTAGCCAGCTTACACTATAAAACCTACATGGTTGCTGCTTTTGATATATATATATATATAGAACTTTTCAAAACATGACAGAGTTATTGAATGGCATTGCATTTTGGGGGGGTATTGAATGTTATTTGCATTATCTTAACATTAGCATGTTTTGGTTATGTTGTTTGCTGCTACTGGTGTTGCGGCACAAAGGACAGAGCCTTGCGGAGACTGAGTGAGGCATGGCATGATGGCTGTTCCACCATATGCTTTGTTGTCACCTAATTTGGCAGAACACATCTTTCTTTGACATGAATATTTTTGAATACATTAACACAAAAAAAATTCAGGATTGCTGCCAGCCATCAAATTCAACATTTGATGTCAGCTGTATTTTTTTGTTGTTGTCGGAAGCCAATCTGGCTTTTAACAACTTTTTCCCCTCCCAAACCCTTTGTTTAATGGCTGTTTTGTGTTTTTATGTTTCCATGTCGAGTGGTGCAGAGACGGTAACCCTCAGGCATAACTCTATTCTCCCCTTCCATCCCTGTCTGTTGTCGTATGAGAAGAGAATTTGACCAATTCTCTTCATGACTGACCCCAATGTGTTGACATCACCACCCCCCTATAGTTGCTTCGAGAGAGGCCCGAAGGCCTGTAGAAAACATAAACTTGGGTCTCTCTGTGGGGGAAAAGTATTCCAGATAGAATTTCCATCACACACTTTTTTACATACTGCAGCAAATGGCGATAATGCAACATACTGTACATTGCGGGTCTTGAACCCAGGTCTCCCAGCCTGTAGACAAACTCGCTAACCACTGCTCCAATAAGCAACGGTCTCTACAATACATTTGGACGTTTTAGAGGCTATATATATTAGGATTAAAGAGGCCATCTTCACTTGAACCACCTTTAATTTCATAACCCTTTGGATTTGAGTTTCGTTTGGTCTGGTTCAGAAGAAAGTTCTGGACACTGACCGGCTTCTCGGTTTCTGTCCCCCCCCTCCCCCCAATCCCTTCCTTCGGGTGTAGAGAAGGAAGAGCAGTGCCCCATGCCCGAGGCCTGGGACGTGGACCAAGGCCTCATAGCCCAACTCAAGGAGCAGTACAGGAAGGAGCGCAAGGGCAAAAAGGGGGTGAAGAGTAAGTCTATCAGGCCTCCCCTTCACTTTCTTTCTCTCCATTGCTTTCGATCTCTTTCTTTCTCTCCATTGCCTTCTATCTCTTCCTTTCTCCTTGTCCTGGCGATAAGAGCTTCTCTCTCTCTCTCTGGTTGAGGTTAACTATATTGCAAAAATAATATTCAACAGACACGCTAAGCACCTTAGAGACACTCTTCCTTTTCTATCGCTTCGTTTTGGCGCTCCTTTTCGGCCATCTAGTACCCGATAAGAGCTTGTTTGTGTCTGTGCTTCTGTGTGTGGCTCTGTGCATAAATTGTTGTATGTTTATTAACATTTCAATGGGATTGCAATACACTGCCTCTCCTCACAGTGATCAGACCCGTGCAGGACAATTTGATCACTATTGTAAGTGGTCGATCACTATAACCACATTCACTACAAGCAAAGTGCACAGTACTGCATTCCTAACCCTCACTGTGTTGACAATACTCATTGCTGTTTTAAGTTGCACCCATAGAAATATAATTACTAAAAAGGGCATAGCCCATACCCTATGGCCTCATTGTGTTGAATGGGCGCGCCCCTTCTAGTAATTGTATGTGTATGGTTGCACCATCCTACCCAAGACATTCCATCCCCGTTTCGTCATGTTTGTACCTGTCTTTATTCTGCCATAGGTTATCAGCTGCACCTGTGTCTTTGTATGTGTGCTGGTTCTCTGTATTTTCCAACCATTCCAACTTCTTATTTTCTCTGAAAGTATCATGTCAGTGACTTAACACTCTCCTTTCCTCCCAACTTTAGTTGCCTTCATTTTTCTATGAGTTATTTCTATGTTCTAGCTACAAAGTTCTCCTTCGCCAAGCATCAGCCATGGACCTGCTCTTCAATCTGCTTATTTCAGGGACCATATTCATAAAGTGTCTCAGAGTAGGAGTGCTGAGCTAGGATCGGGTTCCCCCTGTCCATAAAATCATATCCATTATTATCTAAAAGGCTGAACTGATCCTCGATCAGCACTGCTAATTTGTGATGCTTAATGAATACGGGCCCAATTATCTTGTCCATTCTCTGCATCACTTTTCTCCTGTTGATTTTTGATTGTGTTCAATCAACCCTCCAGCAGGGGTCTCCAACTCCCAGCTACTAGGAGTGCAGGCTTTTGTTCCAAACCAGCACTAAGTGCACCTGATTCAACTAATAATGGTTCAGACTGAAACCTGTGATTATTTGAAACTGATAGGTTAGTAGTGCTGGGCTGGTACAAAACCCTGCACACCCAGTAACTCCAAAGAGCTGGTGAACCCTGCCCTACAGTATTTAAGATGAGGATTGGGTGCCCTTCTACTCTAAGATAATGACCTTCCATTCTCCTCTCCTCCTCTTCCTCTTCCTTATCCCTCTCCTTTCTTTCTTTGACTCTTCTCCTTCCTGGTCCTCTCTGTATACTACTTCTTCTCCTCTTCCTCCTCTTCTTCCTCCCTCTCCTTTCCTTCTTTGTCTCTACTCCTTCTCCTCCATGATCCTCTTTTCATCTTCCTCCTCCTCCTCCCAGGACCTAACCGGTCCAAACTGCAGGATATGCTGGCCAACCTGCGAGACGCAGAGGACCTCCCATCCATGCAGCCCCCCGTCACACCGCCCTCCCGGCCCAGCGTCCCCAGGCTCAACGAGCACGAAGTGGGCCGCCCCGAAGAAGGTAAGACGAGAGCTCAATTGTCCTCAAAGGGTTTGAATTTACAGAATGCACAATTTCCAAATATACGTAATTGACTGTAAATAATCCGTCTATCTCATCCATCCATCCCAGTGGAGGCCATGACGTTTCCGCCTACGTCAGGGAAGTCGTTCATCATGGGGCCGGACGAGGCGGCAGAGAGCGAGCTGGGCCTGGGCGAGCTGGCGGGCCTCACTGTGGCCAACGAGGCAGACAGCCTGGCCTACGACGTGAGTACCTACCTCTGAGGGGAAGGGAGGATAAGGAAGGAAGGGAGGGTGAGGGGAGTAAGGGGGGCGAGCTGGGTAACATAACCATGGCCAACAAAGCTGACAGCCTGGCCTACAACGGGAGTGGCATCAGTCCTTCCTTACAAGGGGCACCAACCACTGCAAGATGTAGAGCAGGGGCAAGGCCAGCTAGCAATGAATGAATGAATATATTAATGAAAACATTTATTATGACAAAAAGGACACACTTTATTGCCCCGAAGGGAATTTTATTTGCATATCATGACCACTGCAATCGGATAATTTTTTTTGTAAAACAGTAGACACGGACATAGCAATTAATGACAGACTGTACAACATTCAGCTAATCAGAGCAAAGTGCACCACCACCAAACACCGGGCAGCAGCATTCACATATTTTATTTTCTGCTGTATATACATTGCATTCGGAAGGTATTCAGACCCATAGCCTTTTTCCACATTTTGTTACGTTACAGCCTTATTTTTTTTTCCTCCTCAATCTACACACAATACCCTATATTGACAAAGCGAAAACTGGTTTTTAGACATTTTTGCAAATGTATTACAAATGTAAAACAGATACCTTATTTACATAAGTATTCAGACCCTTTGCTATGAGACTCGAAATTGAGCTCAGGTGCATCCTGTTTCCATTGATCATCCTTGAGATGTTTCAACAACTTGATTGGAGTCCACCTGTGGTAAATTAAATTGATTGGTCATGATTTGGAAAGGCACAGACCTGTCTATATAAGGTCCCACAGTTGACCAAAACCAAGCCATGAGGTCGGAGGAATTTTCCATAGAGATCAGAGACAGGATTGTGACCAAGGCACAGATCTGGGGAAGGGTACCAAAAAATGTCTGCAGCATTGAAGGTCTCCAAGAACACAGTAGCCTCCATCATTCTTAAATGGAAGAAGTTTGGAACCACCAAGACTCTTCCTAGAGCAATTGGGGGAGAAGGCCTTGGTCAGGGAGGTGACCAAGAACCCAATGGTCACTTTGACAGAGCTCCAGAGTTCCTCTGTGGAGATGGAAGAACCTTCCAGAAGGAAAACCATCTCTGCAGCACTCCACAAATCAGGCCTTTATGGCCAGACGGAAGCCACTCCTCAGTAAAAGGCACATGACAGCCCGCTTCGAGTTTGCCAAAAGGCATCTAAAGGACTCTAAGACCATGAGAAACAAGATTCTCTGGTCTGATGAAATCAAAATTGAACTCTTTGGCCTGAATGCCAAGCGTCACATCTGGAGGAAACCTGGCACCATCCCTACGGTGAACCATGGTGGTGGCAGCATCATGCTTTGGGGATGTTTTTCAGCAGCAGGGACTGGGAGACTCAAGGCTGTAATTGTTGCGAAGGTGCTTCAACAAAGTACTGAGTAAAGTATCTGAATACTTATGTAAATGTGATATTTCAATTTGTTATTTTTAATGAATTTGCTCAAATTTGTAAAACAGTTTTTGCTTTGTTATTATGGGGTATTGTGTGTAGATTGAGGGGGGGGGAACAATTTAATCCATTTTAGAATAAGGCTGTAACGTAACAAAATGTGACAAATCTGAATACTTTCGGAATGTACTGCATGGTGTGTTTGCACCCAGGTAAATGAACTATGTATCTACATGACCTTAAACCTGTGGAGCCCCATGGACAACTCTTTCAGCACTTAGGTCCCTCGGGGCAGCAAATATCTACTGCTTTACATTGCCGTGTAGCAGAAGATCAATTCATTTAATTGATTAGCTAGATTTAGAGCTTCCAAACTGGAACACTAAGTAGAAAGGCATATATTTATCTAAAAGTCCTACCTATTTTTCAAAACCTTAGCCAGTTATCATTGACAGGTAAGACTTGTATGTAGTGGAGTTACTGTATTGGATGTACCCCAGGTATGTACCCCAGGTGAGCCAGTAGGAGTAGAGGGTACGTTTTTGCTGATCTTGGTTCAGTTTAGCATTTTCCCTGGTAATGATTAAGGTTAGGATTGGGGGAGGAGAAACTGATCCTAGAAACTGATCCTTCACCCCGGAGCACGGCAATATGCCTAAGATTGGGATCAAGCTGACTGGTAGAGTAGGTTTATTAACATTATTAACTCTGAGCTTATATGCATAGGCTTTGAGTTAGTGAGAGGGACTGTAAACAGAAGCCTTGAAATCAATAGTAATCCACAGAACTGAGCCAAGCTTATGTAAGAGGCTGGTCTCCAGCTTTCAAAATGTCAATATTTAAACAGGCTGGTCTGATTAGCATGGGCTTTGACTTTAGCTTTTGTTGACACACACTAACACACGCCTAGACGCATACACACTAACACAAGCGTGCACACGCCGCACAGAGACACAGGCACTTACACACACTAGCATGCAGAATGACGTTGTGATTGAAGAGACTGAGTGTCATATTGCTCAGTTCGACCCAGTGTGGGAGGACACCATAATGTTCTAATTCTATGATGGACACACTCATCTCAAAATAGGCATGGATTTGTGTGCATTAGATAACATTAAAGTTTCTATGGGAACTGTCATACTAAGATATTGCAGCTCTAACAAGCAGTTAATTAAAAGGATATGAAGATCTAAGCAGTGACTATCTACTGGGGTCAAGCACAAGGGGCACATTGCAGACATGCTTAGCAGACTCAATGAAGAGCATAGCACCACTGAACAGCAATTGCAAACAGGAACAAACCTTTATTAAGTCAGTGTGACTACGTAAGTTACTTTTTGTAAATTTAAATAAATAAGGCAAAACTAGTGACTCCTAGCTTGCTATACCTTCTGATACATTATTGTACAGCACTTAGGCTTGAATCCTAATAATAATATTTTTCTCAACTTCTATAAGCGAAACAAAAACAATCAAATAAACAGCTATATGACAGAGTAGGTCTGGACTGCGAGGTGGTCAAAAGGGGGACATCTGTGTGCATAACTTGCATTTTGTTGCAAATCTCCAATTGACATCAATACTCTTTGCCATTTTCCTCAGGTGACCAACAGCCAGGATGCACTGCGGAAGACGTGGAACCCCAAGTTCACACTGCGGAGCCACTTTGACTCCATCCGGGGCCTGGCCTTCCACCCCGTGGAACCCGTCCTGGTCACTGCCTCCGAGGACCACACCCTCAAACTGTGGAACCTCCAGAAGACTGCCCCCGCCAAGAAGTAAGAGCTCGCATAGGCCTACCCTGCTGTCAGTCAAACACCTGGGTCGTATTTACTAGACCCCAAACAATGTAAATGTTTGCCTTTATTTAACCAGGGAAGTAATTGAGATCACGTTCTCTTTTACAATAACGACCTGACAAAGTTAAGAGCGATACACATTATTAAAGAAGCTCTCGGTTTGCACTAACGAATACGACCCTGCTGTCAATCAAAGACAGTGATGCTTTGAAGAAGGTACCTAAGTAGTGAAAGTGTTAGCCACTCAATGGGGTAAGAATCATGTGGAATTGTTAAGAGCGCTATTGTGAAAAGACAATCGATAGTTAAAGCATGCCTTTTTCTTATACATTTCTGAGGGCTGTAATGGGACATTTTGTTGTAGTTAGTGTATGCTTGTTGAATATGTACATCGAAGGTAGTTACGTTCCCTGTCTGTCTTCCTAGATGTGCTGCTCTAGATGTGGAACCCATCTATACATTCAGGGCCCATCGGTGAGTAACCTTCCTTATCCACTATAACCCAACCTTTTTATAAATGGACAACTGGACTGATACTCTTGTATACATGAATAATTTGTTCTATCAAATGTATTCCATACAAACCATCAAATGTACATATTCACATACTTTGTATCTTTGCATAAGTAAAACACTGCTAAAGTGCAATGGAAAAAAAATCAAATAACGTGTTGAATTTTATAATGACAGGTATTGCCACTTTTTCCTGTAGGAGTGCGGTGTTGTGTTTTGTCTTCCAAAAACAAGTTGAAGTTAATAATGAGATTGCATGTTTCTGTCTTCTGTAGGGGTGCGGTGTTGTGTGTGACCATGAGCTCTACAGGGGAGCAGTGCTTCAGTGGGGGGGTGGATGGAACCATTCAGAGCTGGAACACCCCCAACCCTAATATCGACCCCTATGACTCATATGGTACGCCCCCAGATGCCTTAGCTACACCACTGATTATTAGTACATCGCTCTTCTTTCTCTTTTTTCATATCCTCTTCATCTCTTTACTCTTTCTTTCCCTCTCTACCTCTATTTTCCCTTTCACTACATCTCTCTTCCAACTTTCCATCCTCCTTTCATCCTCCTCTTTCACTCTATTCTCTTCTCTTTATCCAACTCTTTTTTTCCCTGTCTCCACATGATCTTTCATTCTCTATCATTCCCTCTCTCCTTTTCCCCTCCCTCCTTTTAACTCTCCCCACCTCTTAATTCTCCACCTCTGCTTCCTTCTAACTCTCCCTCTCTCTTTCCTGCCATAGAGCCCTCGGTGCTGCGGGGGGCGATGCTGGGTCACACTGACTCAGTGTGGGGTGTGGTCTACAGCTCGGCCCACCAGCGCCTGCTCTCCTGCTCCGGGGACGGCACTGTGCGCCTGTGGAACGCTGCCAACACCTCCCCCGCACTCGCCATCTTCAACGAGAAAGGAGGTGAGATGCTGAACGCAGATCAGATCAACGAAATGATCCCCCAATAGACTTACATTGGCTCTCCCACACAAACACTGCACTAGCATCAGTTCATAAAACAGATACCTCGCACATTTTAACTTAATGTTCCACAACACCTAATTGACCCGCTTACACTGACTGTCCCACATAACCACTGCTCTAGGATCAGCTCATAAAATATATTTGTAATTTCATGCTATACAATGACCTAGAATCCGCTCCATAAAGAGTTACACCTGGGTTTCCCAAACTAGGGGTCGCGACCCCATGTAGGGTCACCTGATTAAAAAATGGGGTCTCGAGAGAAAATGTACGCTTGGTTCATAGAACCGGGGTTACGTTAGTAACCACCAGTAGCAGCTAAATGCGGTTGTAAGAAACAGAGGGGTTTCTGTTTTCTTTCTACAAATGTGTCTATCTTTTGAATGGTTTATGCTACAAAATATTATGACCCCATCACTGAAAGATAAGACATTCAGGAATACGTACGTTCTAAATCAGACTGGGGGGAAAAGAACATCATCAATGATGTTGTTTTCTACACAGAAGATCATACAACATTATTGCCTGATGGTCTTCTGAACTTCCCAATACCTTTCTGATGCATTTCAGTCACTTCAACCATACGGTCTTCAAATTGAAATACTGTCAAAAATACTATCAGACTGATTTGTTCATAACCTTTCCAACTCTTGTCGGATTCAGAGCTGGGCGTCCCCACGTCAGTGGACCTGGTGTGCAGTGAGCCGGCCCACATGGTGACGTCGTTCAGCACGGGGGAGATCGGACTCTTCAACATGGAGACGCGGCAGCTGATTCTCAAGCTGGACCAGACCGGAGAGCCCGGTAAACTCCGCTGCCATTTCTACACAGTGACTCTATAGCACTATGCACTCACTGCCTATTTTCTTGCTCTCTCCCTGTCAACTCCCTTTAACCCTCTTGTCACAACACAAATGTTTATGTTTGTGCATTAAAAGTCATACTCTTATTTTGTTGGTGTACTCACTTCAGAAAGTTTCCCTAACATATGTTTTAGTTATATTAGCAACAGGGTCAGTAAAGTCAGCAATATACAGTGGGGAAAAAAAGTATTTAGTCAGCCACCAATTGTGCAAGTTCTCCCACTTAAAAAGATGAGAGAGGCCTGTAATTTTCATCATAGGTACACGTCAACTATGACAGACAAAATGAGGGAAAAAAATCCAGAAAATCACATTGTAGGATTTTTTATGAATTTATTTGCATATTATGGTGGAAAATAAGTATTTGGTCAATAACAAAAGTTTCTCAATACTTTGTTATATACCCTTTGTTGGCAATGACACAGGTCAAACGTTTTCTGTAAGTCTTCACAAGGTTTTCACACACTGTTGCTGGTATTTTGGCCCATTCCTCCATGCAGATCTCCTCTAGAGCAGTGATGTTTTGGGGCTGTCGCTGGGCAACACAGACTTTCAACTCCCTCCAAAGATTTTCTATGGGGTTGAGATCTGGAGACTGGCTAGGCCACTCCAGGACCTTGAAATGCTTCTTACGAAGCCACTCCTTCGTTGCCCGGGCGGTGTGTTTGGGATCATTGTCATGCTGAAAGACCCAGCCACGTTTCATCTTCAATGCCCTTGCTGATGGAAGGAGGTTTTCACTCAAAATCTCACGATACATGGCCCCATTAATTCTTTCCTTTACACAGATCAGTCGTCCTGGTCCCTTTGCAGAAAAACAGCCCCAAAGCATGATGTTTCCACCCCCATGCTTCACAGTAGGTATGGTGTTCTTTGGATGCAACTCAGCATTCTTTGTCCTCCAAACACGACGAGTTGAGTTTTTACCAAAAAGTTCTATTTTGGTTTCATCTGACCATATGACATTCTCCCAATCGTCTTCTGGATCATCCAAATGCACTCTAGCAAACTTCAGACGGGCCTGGACATGTACTGGCTTAAGCAGGGGGACACGTCTTGCACTGCAGGATTTGAGTCCCTGGCGGCGTAGTGTGTTACGGATGGTAGGCTTTGTTACTTTGGTCCCAGCTCTCTGCAGGTCATTCACTAGGTCCCCCCGTGTGGTTCTGGGATTTTTGCTCACCGTTCTTGTGATCATTTTGACCCCACGGGGTGAGATCTTGGCGTGGAGCCCCAGATCGAGGGAGATTATCAGTGGTCTTGTATGTCTTCCATTTCCTAATAATTGTTCCCACAGTTGATTTCTTCAAACCAAGCTGCTTACCTATTGCAGATTCAGTCTTCCCAGCCTGGTGCAGGTCTACAATGTTGTTTCTGGTGTCCTTTGACAGCTCTTTGGTCTTGGCCATAGTGGAGTTTGGAGTGTGACTGTTTGAGGTTGTGGACAGGTGTCTTTTATACTGATAACAAGTTCAAACAGGTGCCATTAATACAGGTAACGAGTGGAGGACAGAGGAGCCTCTTAAAGAAGAAGTTACAGGTCTGTGAGAGCCAGAAATCTTGCTTGTTTGTAGGTGACCAAATACTTATTTTCCACCATAATTTGCAAATAAATTCATAAAAAATCCTACAATGTGATTTTCTGGATTTTTTTTTCTCAATTTGTCTGTCATAGTTGACGTGTACCTATGATGAAAATTACAGGCCTCTCTCATCTTTTTAAGTGGGAGAACTTGCACAATTGGTGGCTGACTAAATACTTTTTTTCCCCACTGTAATAACCCTAGTACCCTCCAATTATATTATAGCTCTGTGGCTCTCCCTTCCAACTCCCTTCTTTTGAATAATTTTGGCTCGAGTTATAACTCACATTTATCCTGTTGTTCTGACAAATGACTAAATGTAAATGAGAAAGGCTAATAGCAATGTTCAATTGAGTTGCATGTCTTTTCACGTCCACCCCGCACACACAGAAGCCCCGTGCAAGATCAACAAGGTGCTGAGTCACCCCACTCTGCCCATAACCATCACGGCCCAGGAGGACCGACACATCCAGTTCTTCGACAACAACACGGGTGAGATAGACAGCGTCCAGTTTGAACCGACATTCCAGCTGGAATTAAAATAAAAGATATACATAGTAAGACATTTTGTCACAGTATAAAATGTATTTATAACAGTTGGCTATAACATTGAGAACAGTGATTTTGTACTCATCCTGCGTTCCAATTACAGGGAAATGTATTCACTCCATGGTGGCCCACCTGGACGCAGTCACCTGTTTAGCTGTGGATCCCAACGGCTTGTACCTGATGTCTGGCAGTAAGTATTTATCTGGTAACAGAGAAGTACTAGTGTTTATGGTGGTTAGCGTTTCATGTAGTTACAGAAATATTGTTCCTTGCAAAACTGGAGATACAAACTGGTAGTGTGGCAAATATGATATCTGAGCACAGAAACGGAAGCCCCCTTGGATCTTTCTTGTGGTAACTTTCACTAACAGGCAGTTTTAGAATTGTAACATCTCCCTCTATTTCTTTCTCTCTGTTTCCCTCTCTCACTCTACCTCCCTATTTCTTAATATTTTTGTTCTTACCCTCCTCCGCCCTATTAGGCCACGACTGCTCCATCCGCCTGTGGAACATGGAGAGCAAGACATGCATCCAGGAGTTCACAGCGCACCGCAAGAAGTCGGACGAGGCCATTCACGACGTGGCGTTCCATCCCACCAAGTGCTACATCGGCAGCGCCGGGGCCGACGCGCTTGCCAAGGTCTTCGTATGACCGCAAATTCCAATGGCTAACAGCTGCGTCCGGCTCGAAGGACCATGAAAAAGGGGACGAGGTGTGGTGTAACTGAAGGGAGGGATGGGAGTTAGAGCCCAACTCAAAGGCAGTGTGGAAGGAAATGTAGTGAGATGGATGGGTAACTAGCCATTGGTATCTGGGTCTCGACCAGTGGCAGTCGAGCGGGATGGTTAGACACCTGATGGTTTGAAGGCTGAAAGGGGTGAACGTGAGAGTTGGCGAGAAAGAGGGCTACTATCTTTCCACCGTATACTTCCTGTCCTACACACACACTCCCCAGCTAACCCGGGCAGGCCTGGGTGCTACATCCAAACCAGGAGACCAGTGGTTAAACATCACAAAGACCAGGCGGATATCCAGGAAATTCAAGACCTGTACTCTCATTTAGAAACATTGCGTTTGTGTCCTAACAGAAACACAAGACTCGTATTCTGCACCCCCACCCCCGGCCACCCCTAAGACTGCCTGTGTCTTCAATGTTGTCGTTTTCAAAGATTTCATGAAAATGTGCCTTTTTTGTCAATCGTCTTGCAAACAACGTTATTTTACAGTTTGTGTGCAACGTAGGAGTGGGCAGGGCGTTCAACAACAAGTTATCATTTATTGTCCAACATAGTACTGGACATTGTCTATTCCATTTGATCCATAAAACTAAGTTTGAAAATAATTATATTTTCATTCTATGTGCACAGCATATGTATGGCTAGTGGTCAATAGTCACAGTACTGTTTTAGTTATTGAACGTGGGAGTTGGGAGCCACAATGCCCTCAAATCCACTGAAATATACAGTAGCGTGCAGAACTGGAGTCCCCCTGAATAAGAAAAATGGTAAAGTAACCTGAAAGTCCGTTTGAAGTTGAAGTAAAGGCCATGAGGCTGCATTTCCTCGATGTGTGATTTATTATAGCCTTGTTTTATGTCTGTGGTTTTGTATTTAATCACAACAAATTCGAAATGACTCCATTAGTTCATCTCTAAAAAGTAAAAATGTAGCTTTTTAAGTAGTGCCTATTGTGCACACACTTGTTTTGCACCCTCTTGAAAAGCCAACCCCATGAAAGTAATGTAATTGTGTAATGAAACTTTGCTAACAAAATTCCTACATATTAGCCCATATGAATCTGTCACCTATGTGAGTAAGCCATCCTTGTATTCCAGCTTGCTTTGCTTCACTGTTGAATCAGTGTTCAAATCCAAATTGTCTGTACACAGCCAAAACACTGACTTACCCAGGCCACATCCATTCTTAAACTTAATTTAGTTTCCAATTAAATTGTAAATGCTTTTATGCTCCAGCTTCAGTTCTCCTAGGTACAAGGAGTGCCTCTTTTGGTGTTTGGATGTTCCATTCTTTACATAAATAGGACCGCAACTCCTACATTGTAATATACAGTACCAACATAAGTAGAAGCGTTAACTCTTAACAAGATCTGTCCTGTGACACTTTGCTAGCAGTAGATCAATTACTCAAACTTTGTTTCACAATTTAACGCAATTGATTGATCAATGTTGTGGTTTGACCTAATTTGAGTACATGCTGCTTTATCGTGTATTTATAGTTGAACAACCAGACAAACTGCACTGAAAATGGTTTGCAGTGAAACAATTTATTCATTTGATTGTTTTTTTATTTGAGCTGTGTATTTATTTATGCCTCCGTGTCATTTTAAGCCAAAAGGATCAACCAAGTATTGTCTTACAACGACAAGATGCTTCACAGAGAGCCTGCGAATGTAAAGTTTCCTGCGACCGCTAAATTGGCTCTTTCAGCTTATAACGCTAAGTTAGCTCTTTTGCTAATGCTAAGTTAATGCTAAGTTAGCTATGACTGCTAAGGTAGTTTCTTCATAGCTATCCTGCTTGCCCCTGTGCTGAGTTAGCCCCTTGGCTCCCATTTTTGACTGCAGAACTGAGGTCTCTCAGTACTCAACTGCCCACAAGCTACGCTCCTGTGTTTAGGCGATATGACCAGCTCTGGTCAGAAAGCAAGGTAAATGCTTTATATAATAACTGTTTGAAAATAGAATTGTCTCATTATTTTGAACAATTACTCGTTTTTTTATTTACTATACATGGTTGTTGAAAAAGGTAAAGAAATCCTTGTTAAATACAGGTAGATATTTTTTTAAAGAATATTTTCTGTTTTACTTGAACATTTAGGAGTTATTCCTTGGGGGACTTGTGTACTTTTTTTATTTTGTAGTGGAATGGTTGGAGATTTGCCGGTCTTATCAAAAGTTGTATGCCTTTGGTTGTGAGCATTACAAAACAAGACAGATTTTGTCATTATTCTCCAAGTTGTTTCATCTGCAGTTGAACAGAGAGAGATTAGGATTTCGCTGATCTACCAAATGCTTTGGTCTCTAAAATGAGGACTGTTGAATGACAAGGATGGATCAAAATCTGTGGGGAATTCGGTGTGCTTGCGTTGTACAAAGATATTTTTTCTTTTTTATTTACTTTGGTGTCAGGTAATTTTAGACAATGTAAGGGCAAGAACAAAAATGTGTACAGTTTTAAAGTATAAAAAAAAAGATATTTATTAACACAGTATATTGAGTGATGTGAAATGGAGTCAGTATGTATGGTGCGCTTGTCGTGGTAAACGTACAGTAGTTTCATCACAACACTGAGTAGTTGAACAAAATAGGAGTTATTATAGGGCCCCCTGCTGCTCACAATGTGGAAGAAGCATATTTCAGCAGGTTGGCTCTCATTTCATGTCTTTTAATGGGCTGTATGTCCATTTGAATGACAGAATAATGAGGCTGACCATAGGCTAGTGTGTATTTTTTGTGTGTTTTTTGGGTCGTAGAGAACCACTTTAAATACTTGTTTTCTCCAAACCAGTTTGAGCTGTCGTTTTTGAAACTGGGTCTAATACCATAGTTAGCTGTGTGTCCATCAATACTGCATAAGGTCGTCAATTGGAATAATAATAACCAAGCAAATACAGTGGTCCTCCAGAACCAGGAGTCGGACAATTTGAACAAATAATTATCATACTGTGAAAGGCAGTGTAAAAGCAGAATGCTATAGTCTAAATAGTGACTCATATATGCATCTAAAATTCACTTGTCTATTCTGAGCAGCAGGGGGTGTTGCTTACAAGCACTACAAAGTGTATGAAAAGAGATCACACAAAACAAAGAACCTATTAATAACCAATGGGAAAACAAACACAAAGTCCTGGGCGAAGCCAAGTTTGCCTGTTGTAAATCAAGTCATTGCCCTTTTTAACCTCCAGGTGTATAGAGAATTCTTTTAAGATGATGTGAATTTGATAAATATGCTAATTGGACTGTACATACAGTACATATAATTATTGTCATTATAGTTTATTCTTTTTTCATGATGTATTGTATTTTTTCTCAGATGGGAGAGTGACAGATTTATCAATAACAACAATAAAGGAATATGTTGTATATCATACTGGTAATGTAGTATTTGTTTCCCACCTTTAGAATAATGCCTTTCATTGCTTCAACATTAATCCACATTTTCCATTCAAGTATATACCTACCTATAGGAAAATGCATTTGTATTTGATTAATACTTTAAGTACCCCATAATATGTATTAATTGTAATCCAATAGCAACGTTTATACCAATACTTTAAAAAACATTTAATAAATAAATCTAAGATGTATATTATTTAAATACATATACAATTGGTACAGTGAGGGAAAAAAGTATTTGATCCCCTGATGATTTTGTACGTTTGCCCACTGACAAAGAAATGATCAGTCTATAATTTTAATGGTAGGTTTATTTGAACAGTGAGAGACAGAATAACAACAAAAAAATCCAGAAAAACACATGTCAAAAATGTTATAAATTGATTTGCATTTTAATGAGGGAAATAAGTATTTGACCCCTCTGCAAAACATGACAGTACTTGGTGACAAAACCCTTGTTGGCAATCACAGAGGTCAGACGTTTCTTGTAGTTGGCCACCAGGTTTGCACACATCTCAGGAGGGATTTTGTCACACTCCTCTTTGCAGATCTTCTCCATGTCATTAAGGTTTCGAGGCTAACGTTTGGCAACTCGAACCTTCAGCTCCCTCCACAGATTTTCTATGGGATTAAGGTCTGGAGACTGGCTAGGCCACTCCAGGACCTTCATGTGCTTCTTCTTGAGCCACTCCTTTGTTGCCTTGGCCGTGTGTTCTGGGTCATTGTCATGCTGGAATACTCATCCACGACCCATTTTTAATGCCCTGGCTGAGGGAAGGAGGTTCTCACCCAAGATTTGATGGTACATGGCCCCGTCCATCGTCCCTTTGATGCGGTGAAGTTGTCCTGTCCCCTTAGCAGAAAAACACCCCCAAAGCATAATGTTTCCACCTCCATGTTTGACGGTGGGGATGGTGTTCTTGGGGTCATAGGCAGCATTCCTCCTCCTCCAAACACGGCGTGTTGAGTTGATGCCAAAGACCTCCATTTTGGTCTCATCTGACCACAACACTTTCACCCAGTTCTCCTCTGAATCATTCAGATGTTCATTGGCAAACTTCAGACGGGGAAGTAAATGTGCTTTCTTGAGCAGGGGGACCTTGCGGGCGCTGCAGGATTTCAGTCCTTCACGGCGTAGTGTGTTACCAATTGTTTTCTTGGTGACTATGGTCCCAGCTGCCTTGAGATCATTGACAAGATCCTCCCGTGTAGTTCTGGGCTGATTCCTCACCGTTCGCATGATCATTGCAACTCCACGAGGTGAGATCTTGCATGGAGCCCCAGGCCGAGGGAGATTGACAGTACTTTTGTGTTTCTTCCATTTGCGAATAATCGCACCAACTGTTGTCACCTTCTCACCAAGCTGTTTGGCGATGGTCTTGTAGCCCATTCCAGCCTTGTGTAGGGCTACAATCTTGCCCCTGACATCCTTGGAGAGCTCTTTGGTCTTGGCCATGGTGGAGAGTTTGGAATCTGATTGATTTATTGATCACTTCTGTGGACAGGTGTCTTTTATACAGGTAACAAACTGAGATTAGGAGCACTCCCTTTAAGAGTGTGCTCTTAATCTCAGCTCGTTACCTGTGTAAAAGACACCTGGGAGCCAGAAATCTTTCTGATTGAGAGGGGGTCAAATACTTATTTCCCTCATTTAAAATGTAAATCAATTTATAACATTTGCGTTTTTCTGGATTTTTTTGTTGTTATTCTGTCTCTCACTGTTCAAATAAACCTAACATTAAAATTATAGACTGATCATTTCTTTGTCAGTGGGCAAACGTACAAAATCAGCAGGGGATCAAATACTTTTTTCCCTCACTGTATGTACATATCATTTGTTGACAATGTAGTACTTCTCCCAGTGTGTAAGAGCCCACATACACCAGAACGATGGTCAGCCGAGCGCAGTAGGGGCCGTTCCATCAATGACTTTCGCCGTGGGGTATGTTATAGGGAGCAGTGCCTGTTTTCTTTGCCAATTTAACATGTAGAATCGTTGTAAAATGACCAGAAAATGCTACCTGATATTCTGGTCTGAGGTACTCTAAGCTGACCGTCGTTTTGGTGTGTTATACTTAAGGGTTCAGTTTTGGGGCTGTGAGTTGAACTCTTGACAGATGTTGTGTACGATAGTGGGCACCAGTTTATGGAGGTCATCAAAGTCCTCCACCAAGAACAAGTGCTCCTTGACTGGCTCGCTGGCTATGTCTTCTAGCTGCTCCTGGGAATCCCAAGCACCTGATTAAATAGATGAAAGCAATGATGTGGAAAGTGAAACCTTGCTTTCATTCACTCAAGTCACACAAATGGGACCTCAAAAATGAAGGAGAGGTGTATTTTCAAAGTCTTCAAATAGGGCGCCTCTGTCCTACTACAATTATTTTTTTCCACCCCCCATTGTTCCCTCTTAGCCAATCACCTCTTGACCCTCCCTCCCTCCCTACCTTACCTAACTTGAGTGGCCAGAGCAGGGTCCCTGACGTCATCATAGGAACGCCCGTCAGTGATAACTACCATGACCTTCTGCTTACTCCCGTTCGATTGGCCGAAAACTTCCCGGATGGTGAACGCAATGGCCGCCCCTGTGCTCGTCCCCCCCGCTCCAGTAGCTTATCCCCAAAATGGCGTCCAACAGCTCCTTCTTTCCACCATATTCCCCAAGGCCTATCTCCAACCTCTGCTCATATGAGTACTGCATTAGCGCCACACGTGTCCATGTTGGATATGTCGAACATTGACGTAACATTGGCGACAAACTTGAGTAAGTGGGCGGTGCCCACACTGCTGGAGCCATCCAATAGGAAGATGAGGTCGTGGGCATTGAGGCAGGTGCGGCTGTATAACAGGCGGGGCGTGGAACACATGCGTTTCACCAGGGGCCGCGCGGTGTAGAGTAAGGAGAACCAACTGACAACGGGCAGGGAGAAGAAGCTGCCGGGCCGACACCATCTGAGGAAAGGAGAATAGACAAAGGAGGATAGAGGAGAAGAGGAAGGAGGTTGTCAGTTAAAGTGTGTTTAACTGATGTTTTAATTCATGAACTGAAAGATTCCTCATCAAAAATAATGAAAAATTGTATAATACTCCCGGGCAAGCCTTGAAGCCTCCTCCACGTGGTCGAGGGCCTACCATCCACCAGGACCACGGCATCGTTAGGCGCCTGTCCCCGGTTAATGTTGCCGTAAGTAAAGTAGTGATTGTTGATGTGGGCCAAGGGCTTGCCTGGGAGAACAGGGACTTGTTCATTAGGGTACGCAAAGCGTAGTCCCTCCCTGTTTTCTTCCGTTTGGTGCCTACTGAACACGACCCAGGAACAGTCAATGAGAGAGTATTCCAAATAATTAGAAGGTAATCAGGCTTTATCATGAATGTAACACATTATTTTGTAGAATATTATTTTGTAGAACTTTAGTGGACACTTTTATGTAACTTCCCTGGAAGACCACACGGAGGCAGCACAGTGTTATTTCATTTGTACTATATACCGGCTTTGAATGAAAACAGAACACATATCCACGTGCACAATTGGGGACAAGACAAGGTAAATTATCAGAGTTGGTTTGTCAGGATCAATAAAAAGACAAATGGACATTAGCATACACTGGTATATATAATGGCGCCGGAGGGGATGGCTGCCGTTTTTACGGGCTCCTAACCAACTGTGCTATTTTGTGTGTTTTTTTGCATTGTTTGTAACTTATTTTGTACATAATGTTGCTGCTACGGTCTCTTATGACCGAAAATAACTTCTGAATATCAGAACAGCAATTACTCACCTCGAACTGGACAAAGATTTTTCTTTAATGAGTCCGACGTGAAGGATATACTGCTTCTCATAGACCAGGCCCAAATCCCCGTCATCCGCGTGAAGTAAATACAGAAATACAGGGGGCGGAGATCAGGGTGCCTTGTGAGAATTCGTCGGTGAGTGGATAACCCGCCTCTACCATCCGTTCTATTGGCCAACATGCAATCACTGGAGAATAAACTGGAAGATCTCCGTTCGAGACTATCCTACCAACGGAACATTAAAAACTGTAATATCGTGGCTGAACGACGACACGGATAATATACAGTTGGATGGGTTTTCCGTGCATCGGCAGGACAGAACAGCTACGTCTGGGAAGACGAGTGGTGTGGGTGTGTGTCTATTTGTAAATAACAGCTGGTGCGCAATGTCTAATATTACCTCATGATAAGCTGTAGACCACACTATCTACCAAGAGTGTTTTCATCTATACTTTTCATAGCCATCTATTTACCACCACAAACCGATGCTGGCACTAAGACTGCACTCAATGAGCTGGATAAGGCCATAAGCAAACAAGAAAATGCTCATCCAGAAGCGGCGCTCCTAGTGGCCGGGGACTTTAATGAATTGAAGAGTATACCACCTCAGTCAACGGCTTCATCAATAAGTGCATCGACGACGTCGTCCCCACAGTGACCGTACGTACATATCCCAACCAGACCCATGGATTGATTACAGGCAACATCCGCACCGAGCTAAAGGCTAGAGCTGCCGCTTTCAGGTAGTGGGACTAATCCGGACGCTTATAAGAAATCACGCTATGCCCTCAGACGAACCATCAAACATGCAAAGCATCAATACAGGACTAAGATTGAATCCTACTACACCGGCTCGTCGGATGTGGCAGGGCTTGCAAACTATTACGGACTACAAAGGGAAACCCAGCCGCGAGCTGCCAAATGACGCGAGCCTACCAGACGAGCTAAATGCCTTTTATGCTCGCTTCGAGGCAAG